CGCCACTTCCAGCTTTTTCTGCTTAGTGGTGCTGAGGAATCAAACCCAGGGCCTCATGCATTGCAAGGCGCACCACTGAGCCATCTTCCCAGCCTTCTTTTTTTTTTTTTTTTTTTTAATCAAGAAAATAATTCAGAGTCAAAGGCAAAGGAAGCTGAGATTGGAGGATCTCAGCTCAAAGCCAGCCTGGCAAGAAAGTCTATGAGACTTTTATCTCTAAATTAACCACCAAAAAGCCAGAAGTGGAGCCATGGCTTAAGTGGTAGAACACTAGTCTTGAGCAGAAAAAAGCTCAAGGATTATACCCAGGCCCTGAGTTTAAGTCCCAGGGCTGGCCCCCCCCCCCCCCCAAAAAAAAAATTCAGATTAAGTTACTTAGCATATATATGATATCTCATGTGAATGGGTATTGAATAAACAAACCCAAGATATTTCTTCACATCTTTTTCCTTTTTCATTTTTTTCTTTTTTGTCAGTCGTGGGGCTTGAACTCTGGACCTGCGCGCTGTCCCTGAGCTCTTCCTTTTAAGGCTAGCACTCTACCACAGTGCCACTTCTGGCTTCTTCTGTTTATGTGGTATTGAGGAATTGAACCCAGGGCTTCATGCATGATAGGCAAGCACTTTACCACTGAGCTACCTTTCCAGCTCCTTCACATTTTTATCTAGTAATCTAGAAAACTAGTACATCTAGTAAACTAATTTCTATAAAGATCCACACTATTCTGGTAAGTATTACTATAAATTGAGTGATCAGATTAATTTGGGTAGAGTTTCTGGTAAAAACAATATCCTGGGGCTGTAGGAAGACAACACTCAAGAATAGATTTCCTTTCCTATTGGAAGACCAAGTATTTGCTCCATAGCAGAATTGGTGCTTAAAAGAGTTCAAGAACTAGCTGTGATAATACATGTCTTAAATCTCAGCACTGACTGGACCAAGGCAAGAGAATCTTGAGTTCAGTGCCAGCTTGGGCTACAAAGCAAGACCGTATCTCAAAAAACAACTAGAGAAGTTTTGTATTTGCAGGCATAGAACCATGGACTAAGTCAAGAAAATCAAGATTTGACTTCCTTGTTTGCTGTGATCAGTCCTGCTTTAGAGTCATATTATTTGACAGCTGTTACTCCAGACAGGGTACCTTTAGAAGATATTTACATGCAGGGCCACAGTGATGCTCGACAAGGTGTTCATTCTGCCTTCTGCTCCTGTAGTCCTCATAAAATAGTTGCATGTTAAATATTTGTGTTTCTGGCCAGAAGAAATCTTCAAAACTAGCTAGTCTCTTGTTTATCTTGATAATTATATGCTTTTAAGAGAGACCTTAAGTTTTGGCCTTGTATGAGTAAAAAATAAATATGAACTGACATAGTGATGTATTTGAAGGTAGCCTGGGCTACATAGTGAGACTCCTAAATTAATGAATCATTAATGTTATAAAATAAAACTAAACATTCTCACCTGATGTGTTATTAATGAGATATGGCTTTAATATAATGTAACAATAAACATGTTCACAAAATTAATACATCAGGATCAAAACCTACTTAGGAAATAAGCCACATTGATGACAATGAATCTGTAAGTTTTTGTAACATGAAATGGTAATTTACTTGGATGCGGGGAAGTAATACAGAACTGCCCAAGTTATGGCATTAATAGTCAATTTTTTTATCATAGATATTTAAAAATGAATATTCTCAGGTTTTTTTTTGTTGTTTTTTTTTTTGGGTCCAGTCGAGGGGCTTGAACTCTGGGCCTGGGCACTGTCCCTCAGCTCTTCAGCTCAAAGCTAGCGGTCCATCACTTGAGCCACAGCGCCACTTCTGGCTTTTTTCTTTTTGCTTATGTGGTGCTGAGGAATCAAACACAGGGCCTCAGGCATGCAAGGCAAGCGCTCTGCCACTGAGCCACCTTCCCAGCCTATTCTCAGTTTTTTATTGTTGAAAATCAAACATAGCAAGTACCTTAGTGCTAGCTAACCTGCGTTAATCATTTAACACACACACTTTTTTTTGGGGGTGGGGGTGATGGGGCTTGAACTCCAGGCCTGGGCACCGTCCCTCAGCTCTTCAGCTCAAGGTGAGCACTCTGCCACTTGAGCTACAGTGCCACTTCTGGTTTTCTGGTGGATAATTGGAGATAAGAGTCTCATAGGTTTTTCTGCTCTGGCTGTCTTTGAACTGTGATCCTCAGATCTCAGCCTCCCGAGTAGCTAGGATTACAGGCATGAGCCACCGGTGCCCACCTCTGGACTGACATTCAACCTCGATATTCAGATCTAAAAGTGGCTAGAATTACAGGCATGAGCCAGGAACTGGCCTCTTACCCAGTTCTTTTTTTTTTCCCCTGTCGGTCATGTGGTTTGAACTCTGGGCCTGAGTGCTGTCTCTTAGCTCTTCAGCTCAAGGCTACCATTCTACCACTTGAGCTACAGTGCACTTACAGTTTTCTGGTGGTTTATTGGAGATAAGAGTCTCCTGACTTTCCTACCTAGGCTGGCTTTGAACTGCGATCCTCAGATCTCAGCCTCCTGAGTAGCTAGGTTTACAAGCGTAATCCTGGCACCTGGCTTCATTTAACAGATTTAAATTCTCATAAACTTCACAGAAGAGCAACTTCTTAACTCATAACATGTTATTATTCCTCTACCTCTACAAATAACTTATTTTATGTGTTTAATAGAATATGTTTAAAAGAATTCCTTTCTTATGCACCATAGCCCATGGTCAGCCTAAGATTTTATTTTATTTTATTATTTTTTTTTTTTTTTTTGGGTCCGGTTGTGGGGCCTGAACTCTGGGCCTGGGCGCTGTCCCTCAGCTCTTCAGCTCAAGGCTAGCACTCTACCACTTGAGCCACAGCACCACTTCCGGCTTTTTTCTTTTTGCTTATGTGGTGCTGAGGAATCGAACCCAGGGCCTCATGCTTGCAAGGCAAGCACTCTACCACTGAGCCACCTTCCCAGCCCCAGCCTAAGATTTTAAATCTCCCTTTACTCTTCTTAGATTCACTTAACGACAGATGTGGCAAATGTTGTGTTGCACCAAGATACCCTACCCAGATGTAAGGAGGCAGAGGTTCTCATTATCAATGTTATATTTTTTTACTGCATATATTCAGTGACCATAGATCTTTTTTTAACAGAAGAGTAAGGGAAATTAATATTGAATTTGAAGCCATGTTTAACATTAACATTGACTCTGTGGAATGTGTTTGATGGATGAACCTTATTGGATATAATAATCAGCTTCAACTACACTGATCCAGCAAATAGGCACACAGAATGCAGTATAGAACTAGAAAATAAAGGATTCTAAAACCTTGACTTTTGCATAGTTAAAACTGTAACAAAAACTATTCTGGAGTATATAGCTCATGCTTATAATTCTAGCTACTCAGGAGGCTGAGATCTGAGAATCACAGTTCACGTTCTAGCCTAGGTAGACAAATCTGTAAGGCTTTATATCTCCCAAGAACTTGGGGAGGGGGGAAGGGGGTCGGCGGTGGGGAGTTGGATATAAAGGCAAAGCTCAGCCATGAGGGAAAAAGCTGACTGAGAACAAGAGGACTTAAGCTCAAGTCCCTGACTGAGTTCAAGCCCCAGTACTGGTGCGTGCACACACACACACACACACACTCACCAAAATTATGCATTCATAAATATTTCACTCAAAGGATATCCTTAAGTTCTTGTGCAAAAGCACAACCTTTGTTTAAACTTTCCTACTTTCTTGAAAATTAACTTAGAGGTGGGAAAATGTGAGGAAGTGACATCACAGAGAAAGAAAAGTGATCTAGGAATCTAAAAATCGCAACTATAATTCAGTTCTATTTAGTACTGAGCAGGTGTCTTTATAAATCATAGTACCTTCTATAGCTGTGTCTGTAATATATACCACAGCATTGTTGATCTTTGAAACAATAATTCTGAGATGTGAAGATCTATTCACTATTTCCTTCCTCCTAAGCAGGTGGGAAAGGATATAAATATGTTTGGGGAAGACTGTCACTCAGGAGCATTATGATAAAAATAAAAAGTGAACAACTATGATGTTTATCAGTGTGAGATAGATTTGTGTTCTGACATGAAAAGATATTCTTAGCTGTACTATGTAGAAAAGCAAATTATGAACAGTTTGTGAATTTCATGTTTTTATTACAAAGAAGGATCAGTAAATATCTAGAAATCTGGATGACTTCTGAAAACCACTAATAGTAGTTAACCCTGGATGCTAGAATTATATATAACTATCTTTTCTAAGCTATGTAGTTTTACAATATAAGCAGGAATTTCTTTCCTAATCAGAAGCAACAAAGACTATAAGGTAATCACCTTAAGAAAACAGAAGTGTTTAATACATTTTAGAAAACTATGGGGCTGGGAAGGTGGCTCAGTGGTAGAGCGCTTGCCTTGCATGCCTGAGGCCCTTGGTTCGATTCCTCAGCACCACATAAGCAAAAAGAAAAAAGCCAGAAGTGGTGCTGTGGTTCAAGTGGTAGAGCGCTAGCCTTGAGCTGAAGAGCTGAAGGACAACGCCCAGGCCCAGAGTTCAGGCCCCACGACCAGACCCAAAAAAATAAAAAGAAAACTATGGTACCAATTTATGGTAAGTGCCTTATGAACTATTGTGGACTGTGTCCAACCATGTCAGGTTGGATGGACACTTTGTCACTGTACATGAGCACCACACACTCTCTGGGACACATTCTCCAGTGTGGTGAAAATAATCTTTCTGAATCCTAGTCTTTCACTCCGACCACTGAAATGAACTTCATATATGCCACTATTGGAGTTTTTAGTCAAGATTTTTGTTTCTATAGCCCCATTTCCTAATTGAAAATGTATTTGCTTGTGATGCATTATAATTGGGAGAATCAATACTTTTCTCTTACAAGCAATATTTAGATTTTAACCCTACTGGCTGATATTTGAAAGCATAACCATGCTCCTCAGTCCCAGTGTGTTGTTTGTAATTGGTCCAATTTATCTGATTCAGGTGCATTGTGGCCAGGTATGAAACCTGAAAGTGGTTTAATTCAGACTCCATCTCCAAGCCAGCACAGTGTTCTTACCTGCACTACAGGGTTAACCACAAGCCAGCCAAGCCCAGCACATTATTCTTATCCCATTCAAGGTAAATAGGCATGGTTGTGTGTGTGTTTTAATTATTACTGTTTTTTTTTTTGTTTTTAATCGACCTGTATCTCCAAACAAATTGGATAATACAGGAGCTCTGACTGCTAAAATAGAAAGGGGCCATAATATGCATTTGTGCATGCCTTTTATGTTAGGCAAAACAGAATCAAAGGGTATGTTTTATGTCATTCAGGCTTTGAATGTGAGCTGTTTAATAGATTTGAAGCCTTTCCTTTTGCATGTTGGTTTCCAGAAAAGCTCTGTGCTTTTTGTGCTGGTCAGCTCTCAGTGGAATTCTGTCCTATAAATGAGCAGACTCCATGGGTCAGAATTGTGCTGACTTCTTTTATGTGAATTATTGGAGTGGCATGTGAGATGTGATGCTTTTCTGCTGTGGTTTTGTCATACCTGCCGCCGTTCATTTACTACTTTTTGTTGAGAGCATTATTTCTCTTGCTCAAAAAGTTCATTGCTTTTTTAGCCTGGTGGCTCATGCCTGTAATCCTAGCTACTCAGGAGTTTGAGATCTGAGGATCACAGTTCAAAGCCAGCTCAGGCAGGAAATTCTGGGAGATTCTTAACCATTAAAAAAAAAAAAAAAAAAAGCCAGATCTGTGGCTCACGTAATAGAGTGCTAGCCTTGAGCAGAAAAGCTCAGGGACAATACTGAGGCCCTGAATTCAAGCCTCTGGACCTATAACAACAAAAATAAATAAAGGTTCATTATTTTTAAAATAGCTATGGCTATGGAAGAGTACTTGCCTCAAAACAGTAACAACAAAAAAAAGTTTGTGGTTGTTTCTATTTCATGACAAAAAGCAAATTCAGTGCAGTGTCTATAGAAACTGAGAAGTAGCGTCTGTGTGCCTGAATTCTTGTGTGCCCCCCTCTTATTTTTTTGTTTGTTTTGTTTTGTTTTTTGTTGGTTGTGGGGCTTGAACTCTGGGCCTGGAAACTATACCTGAGCTTTTCAGCTCAAGACTAGCGCTCTACCACTTGAGCCACAGCCACTTCTGGCTTTTTCTGCTTACGTGGTGCTGAGGAATTGAACCCAGGGCCTCATGCATGCAAGGCAAGCACTCTACTACTGAGCCACCTTCCTAGCCCCTCTCATTTTTTGTTTTTTTGTTTTTTTTTACAGTATTTAAGCATTAATTTTTAGAGAACAGACACTAGAGTATGAATATAGACACCTAAAACTTGTATCTTAAGATACAAACTTCTTTGATGTAAATTAAAAGATTTTGTTTTTGATCCACTGAAACCATGAACGCTTACTTTGTTCTTATGACTTGGATCTGAGCTTGCTTTACTTCCTCTTTTGTTATATTCTTTCTGGGTCCCCTCCCTCTTCTCTCTTTCTAAAATGAGAACAAACCAGGAGGGAAAAACCCTCTCCCTCTCCCTCTCCCTCTCCCTCTCCCTCTCCCTCTCCCTCTCCCTCTTTCCCTCCCTCTCTCCCCATTCCCCCTCCCCCTCCCCCTCCTTCTCCCCTCTCTCCTTTCTCCTCTCCTCTCCCTTTCCTCCCTGCCCTGCCCTTTTCTCCCCCCCCCCCCTCTCTCTCTCTCTCTCTCTCTCTCTCTTCTTTCTCTCTCTCTCTCTCTCTCTGGGGTGGGGGGAAAGATAGGTCTTACTCGCTTAACTCAGGCAGACCTTGAACTCATGAATTCTTCTGCCTCAAAAAGCTAGTCAGCAGGTGCATGCCCCCATTCCTGGCTTTCCTTTCATTGTTATAAAGTATTTCTTATGGTTAATCGGCTTACAGGTGGAACCACAAGCAGTGTATTAGGCAGGTGTGTCCTTGACTCTGCCTAGGTTGTAAGAAGAGAAAGGATTCTCTTCTTTCTTAGTAATAACCTTCACTATGGTATCCATCTACCCAGGCTCTTGCACTACTGTGTGTGTGTGTGTGTGCGTGTGTGCGTGCATGTGCATGCACATGTGTGCATGTTCTAGGACTTAAACTCAGGGACTCGCACTCTTGCTCTGCTTTTTCCATTCTCAGCTGACACCATATGTAAGGTAAAGTCTATCTCAATACGTTGTTGTGTTTAAGAAAGTAAGCCCCTAGAAGTCTCTTAATACTTCTGGAGTAAAGAGTACCATAGAAAAGAAAGTCCATGGGGATGGGAATGTGGCTCAGTGGTAGAGTGCTTGCCTAGCATGCATGAAGCCCTGGGTTGGATTCCTCAGTACCATATACACAGAAAAAATTGGAAGTGACGCTGTGGATCAAGTGGTAGAGCACTTTCCTTGAGCACAGAGAGGTTCAAGGACAGTGCCCAGGCCCTGAGTTCAAGCCCCAGGACTGGCCAAAAAAAAAGAAGAAGAAGAAGAAAAAGGAAGGAAGGAAGGAAAAGTCCTCGAGGATGGTCAAGAAACGAGTTTCTTAGCTCAGCCACTGATTGGAGCGAAGGGCACTGATGAAGAATTGGCAGGTGCAAGTTGTCATCTGGATCACCCTCTGCTAGCTTCCTGATTCTGAACAAGCTACTTTAAGTCTTCCATGCTCCAAGGTTCTTCCTCAGAAATCTGGGGCTGTAGTAACAGCAGTAACAGCTTCCCTATGACGTCTCCTAAGCATCATACCCTTGGGGAAAGGATGCACCTTCTTTCTCTGATTTTTCCCAGGACACTTTGTGCTGTAGTTTTTTTCCCTAGTCCTGTACTCAGGCAGGTTTTCTTACTGTCTTTGTCTGTGGAAGACTTGTTGCTGATGGAATAGGTAATCCGTTACATCTCCCTAATGGTGAATGCTGTAGGTGTATATGGCTGCAGACTGCAGTAGGGACCATGTCTGAGTGTGTTTATAATAAGAAAAAAAACCAAATGTCTTATAATATTACATGTTCCACCTGAAAACAAAGTCCTTGTGGTATTTACTGTCATTGAGGGTTTGGGTAAAACCCTTGTGATACTATGGTAGTTCAAGGGGCTGGGAAGGTGGCTCAGTGGTAGAGCGCTTGCCTTGCATGCATGAGGCCCTGGGTTCGATTCCTCAGCACCACATAAGCAAAAAGAAAAAAGTCAGAAGTGGTGCTGTGGCTCAAGTGGTAGAGCGCTGAAGAGCTGAGGGACAGCGCCCAGGCCCAGAGTTCAGGCTCCATGACCGGACCCCAAAAAACAAAAAAAAAAAACTATAGTAGTTCAAGAGGATGGAGGCATGGTTCAGGTGGTAGAGCACTAACCAGTGAGCAAAAGCGTCAGCTACTGAATTTGACTCCTGGTCTCAGACAGAGAGAGAAAGCAGTTAAAGTAGCTTACAACGTATGTTTTTAGCTAACCATAATGCATTTAATATTTAATACTTTCTGAGCTTTGTATATATGTGTGTACACATGCATACGCACATGTGCCAATATCATGTCTTAAAACTCAGGAACTCCCTCTCTTGCTCAGCTTGCTTGCTTATGGCTGGTGAGCCACACCTCCAGTCCAGCATTTTTCAGGTTAATTGGAGATAGAGTCTTTAGGACTTTTCTGCCTGCACTGGCTTTGAACCTCAATCCTCCAATGTCAGCTTTCTTTGTAGCCAGGATTAGAAGTACAGACTTGAGCCACTGGTGCCAACCAGCTATATGTGTTTTTGATCTACATTAATAATCTATTTGAGTATAGACCAAGAAGTAATTCTAAGAACTTTAGAATTTGGAGAACTATGTGCTAATTACATCAGAAAAGGCATAATTTGGGGCAATAAACAGTATGACAGTGTAGGGTTTGCCAGAGCTCTACTAATTGTTGCCAGGTCACTCTGCAGGTGAGTGGTTTTCAACTTCTAGGGTAGATAAGGGATAAATTTGATTTAGTTCTGACTTCATTATCATCTTCTAGGGAAGATAAGGGGTAAATTTGATTTAGTTCTGACTTCATTATCATGGTTAGAATGAGCTGTGAGAGTTTCTTTTAGGACTTGAGTAGGAAGGGCTGAAAACAGCAAGATATTTGAAGTGTTTTGTTTCTAATCAAGTCTCAGTTGAAGTAATTATTTCTTTTACTGATGTTGCTTATCTCCTTGCAGACATATTCATCTAAAACTATTCATTTTCAGTTTTTAAGCCTTTTATGTAGTGTCTTTAACTAATATCTGTCAATATTCTCAATCTTGTAGCTTCAAGCCCAAATGCCAGCCTGATTTCCACTTCACCCACAATTGCCAATGTTCCAGCAGCAGCAGTTGCCAGCATCTCAAACCAGGTATTCAGTTCATCCTGTTTGGTATGGTTCATCTGGCTTCTTTCTCTCTTCTTTCCATGGTCAGTTTGTCCATCTGAGAAGCAACCAGGAATAATATGGAACATGAAGGCTGCTCTCAGTACTAGGACCTCAGATAGCTTCTTTGGCAGCCACTCTGTTTCTTTGTTCTCTGCTAAGCTTGCTTACCCCTATCTGCCACTTAACTACTATGTTTACCTCCTGCTCTGCCCCACTAGAGTGTTCACTCCATGAAGGATAAGGAGGTAGTCTTTATTTTGTTCACTTACAGAGCTCAGAAAAACATCAGGCTCTTTCATAGACCACTCTATAAACATTCATGGAATAAGTAAATATTACTTTTTTTTATTGTGAAAATACAGTACAGAGGGGTTACAATTACATGGGAAAGATAATGAGTACATTTCTTATCAAGCACTGTAGCCTCCTCCTTTGTTTCCCCTTACCATCCATTCCCATCCCCCCCTCCCCTCCATGTGCTGCCTCCCCCAATCCTCTCCCTAAATATTACTTCTACTTTAAATCCATTCATTCCTATGTGATTTCTTTTTTTTGTTTTTTGTCTTTTGTTTTTTTGCTTGGTTGTGGGACTTGAACTCTGGGCCTGGGCACTGTCCCTCAGCTCTTCAGCTCAGGGCTAACACTCTACCACTTGAGCCACAGCACCACTTCCAGTTTTTCTAGTGGTTTATTGGAGATAAGAGTCTCACGGACTTTCCTGTCCAGGCTGGCTTTGAACTGCAATCATCAGATCTCAGCCTCCTGAGTAGCTAGGATTACAGGTGTGAGCCACTGGTGCCCAGCTCCTGTGTGATTTCTCTGTGGTCTGTTTTTGGTGGTGGTGGTGAGGTGGTTTGGAAGTTTGAACTGAGGACCTTGCACTTGTGAGGCAGTCTCCTTCCCGCTTGAGTCGTGGTTACACTTATCTAGTCTGGTCCTGATCACTGCTTTCTTAACTCTGTGCTATTTACATCCATATCTAAAACCAGACTTTTTTTTTTTTTTTTTTGGTGCCAGTATTAGGGCTTGAACTCTGGTCCTGGGCACTGTCCCTGAGCTTTTTTGCTCAAAGCTATCACTCTTAACACTTGAGCTCTACTTCTGCCTTTTTTTTTTTTTTTTTTTGGTCGGTCTTGGGGCTTGAACACTGGGCCTGAGCGCTGTCCCTCAGCTCTTCAGCTCAAGGCGAGCGCTTCTACCACTTGAGCCGCAGCACCACTTCTGGTTTCCTGGTGATTAATTGGAGATAAGAGTCTCACTGACTTTTCTGCCCGGGCTGGCGTTGAACTGCAATCCTCAGATCTCAGCCTCCTGAGTAGGCTTGAGCCACTGGTGCCTGGCTTTTCTTTTTCTTTCTTGTTTTTTTTTTTTTAATTAATTAGAGATAAGAACCTTGCTGACTTTCCTTCAGGGCTGGCTTTGAACTGCACTTCTCAGATCTCAGCTTCCTGAGTAGCTAGGATTACAGATGTGAGCTGCCTACACTAAGACTTTTGTTCCAACCATTGTTTATCTTCTTGTCCTCCAAAAATAAAAGCTCTTTTTCCTCTGATCTCTAAATTTGTTCAATGACACCATTTTTTTCTTAACCTAGAGCAATCATCTTTCTTATACCTTTACCCTTTTTACTTTTGCTCTCATTTCCCATATCATGATTTTCCCCCCTTTAATCTTGAATTACAATAGTTAACAGTACGTGTCATCTCTTTTTCTACCTGTGTTTGTCCATTCTTTTTTTTTTTTTTTTTTTTTTTGGGGTGGGGGGATCCGGTTGTGGGGCCTGAACTCTGGGCCTGGGCGCTGTCCCTCAGCTCTTCAGCTCAAGGCTAGCACTCTACCACTCGAGCCACAGCGCCACTTCCGGCTTTTTTCTTTTTTCTTATGTGGTGCTGAGGAATCGAACCCAGGGCCTCTGGCATGCAAGGCAAGCGCTCTACCACTGAGCCACCTTCCCAGCCCCTGTTTGTCCATTCTTTAAAGCATTATCTGGTTACCTTTTTTGTTTTTTTCTTTTTGTCCGTTGTGGGGCTTGACCTCAGGGCCTGGCTTCTGAGAATCTCCTTGATTTTTCACTCAAGGCTAGCACTCTACTACATTGAGCTACCGCACCACTTCCAGTTTTCTGCTGGTTAACTGAAGATAAGAGTCTCACAGGCTTTCTTTCCCATGTTGGCTTCAAACTATGATCCTCAGATCTCAGCCTCCTGAGTGAGCCACCGGCGCCCAACTTGTAAATGTTATATCTTATCAAGCCATTTATCTGCTCAGAATCTTTTACAGTTTTTATTTGTTGATTTGAACTTGAAAGTCCCTGTTTACACACACACACACACACACACACACACACACACACACACACACTTGCCTAGAGAATTCCATTCATAGTACTTAACCATTTATTCTGTCTTGTAGAGGTGGTTTGTTTTATCCGCAGCCTTCCTGTGAAACCTTTGCAGGGTCACTCATGTTCATCCTCCTCTGCCTGTTAACCCCCAGTCTGTGAGGATGTCTTCCCCAGTTGTCTTCCAGTGTTTTTCACTCATTCCACACATAATTTGTTGGAAATCATTTTATCTTCTTTCCTGCTAGATGTTTAGCTCGTTGAGTTTTGCTAATGTGGCTTTTCTTTTCTTCAATAGTTTCTCCTGTCTGCACACAATTACACACACTATGCGTTATATTGATAATAGATGCTCAATGATTATTTATAAAAAATGGTTCTACTGCCAGGCGCTGGTAGCTCACGCCTGTAATCCTAGCTACTCAGGAGGCTGAGATCTGAGGATCGCTGTTCAAAGCCAGCCCAGGCAGGAAAGTCTGTGAGACTCTTATCTCCAATAAACCACTAGAAAACTGGAAGTGGCGCTGTGGCTCAAGAGGTAGAGCACTTGCCTTCAGCTGAAGAGCACAGGGACAGCACCCAGGCCCAAAGTTCAAGCCCCATGACTGACTGACCCCCCCATGACAGACCCCCCCCCCCCAAAAAAAAAAAATGGTTCTAGGTCGGGCACTGGTGGCTCATGCCTGTAATCCTAACTACTCAGGAGGCTGAGATCTGAGAATCGGCATTCAAAGCCAGTCTGGGCAGGAAAGTCCATGAGACTCTTATCTTCAATTAGCCACTAGAAAACCAGAAGTGGCGCTGTGGCTCAAGTGGTAGAGTGCTCACCTTGAGCTAAGAGCTAAGGGACAGCACCCAGGCCCAGAGTTCAGGCCCCATGACTGGCCAAAAAAAAAACAATGTTTCTAGACCACAAGCATCTGCCTACATGTCACTAATATCAAATGCATATTGTTCTGTGTGGCATGCTTACTTCTAGCATTATTAAGGTCCGATTAACAGATCAGCTGCACAGAGTGTACACATTGAACATTTGGATAAATTTTAGCGTATATGTACTTGTGAAGCTACCAAAAGTTTCCTTCCAATATCTTAGGGAAACTTTAATTTTGAATAAAATTTGGTTGTTCTTTTAAAAAATCACTTTTTCAACTTGGAAATTTTAATGCAGTATATGTGCGTTTTTTTTTTGTTGTTTTATTTGATTTTTGAGATTGGGTCTTGCTTATAGCCAAGATTGACTTGAATTCACTGTGTAGTCCAGTCTCCCTCCCAACTCCTGATCCTCCTGCTTCTCCAGATTCATCCCGCTGTAGCCGAGGAGGATATGTGCTTTTTTTTTTTTACATGTAAGTTCACTTGTTCTTAGAAGCGCTACCCTCAAATGTCAAGTACAGCAGCTTTACTTCAAAACCTGCAGAAACTTGGTACTAAGATTGGTGGTAGGACAGGGAGCTGATAGACTAGGAGACAGGACACTGTGGATGTGTGCGTGACTGGACACAGGACCCTTCGTAGCCTTTCCCTCATCCCAGAGACAGCTGAGATATCTCCTCTAGACCCAGGTTTCCACAGACTGCATTTTGAAAAGCATTATGTTTATTGGATCACTATTATATAGGTAGATGAGAAGCCAAATTACTATTTTAGGAAAATAATCCTTGATTAGAAGGAAAAGAAACCTTCTGAGTTGAAATTATGCTTGTTCCTCTCTCTCAGAATCTTGTTTTCTTCCCTTATTCCCTTTGGCCTACAGGACTATCCCACTTACACTATCCTTGGTCAGAATCAGTACCAGACCTGCTACCCCAGCTCCAGCTTTGGAGTTACGGGTCAGACTAACAGTGATGTTGAGAGTACCACATACCAGGCAGAGAAGCCTAGTGTCATGGTACCTGCCCCAGCAGCACAGAGACTATCCTCCGGTAAGTACTGCAGCTCAGAAAACAGTGTGTCCAGTTAATGGTGAAGATGATTTTGTTCTAGTATAAGTCACCGTGACCACGCTGTTGGCTTTTTCCTCCTGTGTAAAGGGCATTGAAATGTTGGACACAGGCTCTCATGAGTCACTAATGATGGATATCTACCTGATGCTGAGAACAGAGGAGTACTAACAATGAAAAGATTGATTGCATTTCTCACCCCTGCCCTGCCTTGCCCTCCCTGTAGAGGTAACATGCTTATCATAAGGAGTTTCAGAATTTGGGCATATTTTCTAAAAGTCAAAGGATTCTAGTCTTAGTCCAGGCATGTTAACAGCAATAAATTATGATGTCCATATTAAAAATCTCTGATATAAAGGCTTTATACACAAATTGACTAAATGTATAAACATACTTTTTTTTCTTGCTGGTCCTGGGGCTTGAACTCTTGGCCTGGGCACTCTCTAAGCTGCTTTTGCTCAAGGCTAGCACTCTACCATTTTAGCTACAGCACCACTCCCAGATTTTTCTTAGTAGTTTGTTCAAGATAAGAGTCTTATGGACTTTCCTACCTGGACTGGCTTCAGACTCAGGCCTCAGATCTCAGCCTCCTGAGTAGCTAGGATTACAGGCATGAGCCAGCCACAGACACCTGGCCCAGTATACCTTTAATACCTATATTTAATGGCAAGTTGGTGGTTTAGCCATGCATTGTGGTACCTTCCTGTAATCCTTATACTCAGGAGACTGATGTAGGAAGATCAAGAATTAAAGCTGTCATGTTGGGCACTGATGGCTCACATCTGTAATCCTAGTTACTCAGGAGCCTGAGATCTGAGGATCTTGGTTCAAAGCCAGCCCAGGAAGGAAAATTCATGAGACTTTGTTTGTTTGTTTGTTTGTTAATCAGTAGTGGGGCTTGAATTCTGGGCCTGGGGACTGTCCCTAAGCTCTTGAGCTCAAGGTGAGTGCTCTACCACTTGAGCCACAGCGCCACTTCCAGTTTTCTGGTGGTTTTTTGGAGATAAGAGTCTCCTGGCCTTTTCTGCCCAGGCTGGCTTTGTACAGCGATCCTCAAATCTCAGCCTCCTGAGTAGCTAGGATTACAGGCATGAGCCACCAGTGTCCAGCTTAAGTTATCTCCAATTAACTACCAGAAAGTAGTGCTGTGGCTCAAGTGGTAGAGCACTTGCCTAGAGCTGAAGAGCTCAGGGACAGTGCCCAGGCCCAGAGTTCAAGCCCCAAGACCAACCAAAAAAAAAAAAAATCCCTTTGTACATGTAGTGACAGTAATAGGATGTTAGCCACTGCTGGTGCTCAATACTTACGTTTACATTCCCAAATTGTTTACAGTGAGTTCACTTTTCCACACTGTATCCTCTTCCTGCTGTGCTTCTCATAGCCAGTGAATGTTTATAACATATATGTCACTTTTCCTTTCAGGAGACCCCTCCACAAGCCCAGCTTTGGCCCAGAACACACCAAGTAAAGATGCTGATGATCAATCCAGGAAAAACATGACTGGCAAAAACCGAGGCAAGAGGAAAGCTGATGCCAGCTCTTCTCAGGACAGTGAGCTAGAAGTATGGAAAGAAACCCATTTGGGTTACCTACTTTGTTTTTCTTCACTTCTTAAGTTGATCAGACATGAGTTTGTAAAACTCATGGAGATAATGTGGATCTGTGTTTTATCACCTTTCATTCCTAAACAAAAGAAAACAGAAGCTGGGTGCTGGTGGCTCACACCTGTAATCCTAGCTACTCAGGACGCTGAGTTCTGAGGGTAATTGTTTAAAGTCAACCGGGACAGAAAAGTCCCTGTGAGACTTTTATCTCCAATTAACCACTCAAAAACAGGAAATGACACTGTGGCTCAAAGTGGTAGATTTCTGGCCTTGAGCAAAAGAGCTCAAGGACAGTGCCCAGGCCCTGAGTTCAAGCTCAAACAAACAAAACAAAACCTTAATTGAGTCAGGCACTGGTGGCTCACTCCTATAATCCTATCTACTCAGGAGGCTGAGAACTGAGTATCTCGGTTCCAAGCCAGCCCGGTCAGGAAAGTCTGTGAGACATATATCTCTAGTTAACCACTAGAAGAAAAAAAAAGAGTCTCATGGACATTCCTGCCCAGGCTGGCACCAAATTACAATCCTCAGATCTCAGCCTCCTGAGTAATTAAGATTACACGTGTGAGCGACCAAAACCCAGTTCCCATATTCTTTTTTGATATCTATCACCAAAACATTGAAAAAGTTTTGCTGAATTTCAGTATTTTAACAGAAAGAACCAACTATTCTCTATAGTTAAGAGAATAGGAAAGAGGGGGCTGGGAAGGTGGCTCAGTGGTAGAGTGCTTGCCTTGCATGCATGAGGCCCTGGGTTCGATTCCTCAGCACCACATAAGCAAAAAGAAAAAAGCTGGAAGTGGCGCTGTGGCTCAAGTGGTAGAGTGCTAGCCTTGAGCTGAAGAGCTGAGGGACAGTGCCCAGGCCCAGAGTTCAGGCCCCACAACCAGACCCTCCCTCCCCCCGCAAAAAAAAAGAGAGAATAGAAAAGAGAATAGAAAGACAGCAGAGGGAGCCACTCCATTTAGAAATCTAAAAGGAAAATGGAAAATGCAATGACTAGAATACACCCAGCATTCTAGATACTTCTTAAGTAGATGGGCACTGATTTATTCTGTCCTGTAAGCACTATGGGAATTTATTATAGATGTACACTGACTTCATTTTTTGGGGGCGAGGGGGCAGTCATGGAGCCTGAACTCTGGGCCTGGGCACTGTACCTCTGCTCTTCAGCTCACAGCTAGCACTCTACCTCTTGAGCCATAGGGCCACTTCCGGCTTTTTCTGCTTATGTGGTGCTGAGAAATGGAACCCAGGGCCTAATGCATGCAAGACACGCAGTCTACCACTGGGCCACCTTCCCAGCCTTCTGATTTCATTATTTAAAAGACTAACAAGACAAAAAATTTCTAGTACTATATAATATATATTAGCCTTTTATATTTTTCACTTTTGATAATATTTATAAAAGGAAAAAAATTTTTAATTGAGTGTACTGGGCTGGGAATGTGGCTTAGAGGCAGAGTGTTTGCCTTGCATGCATGAAGTCCTGAGTTCAATTCCTCAGTTCCTCAGTACCACATAAACAGAAAAGGTTAGAAATGGGGCTGTGGCTCGAGTGGTAGAGTGCTAGCCTTAAGCAAAAGAAGCTCAGACACAGTGCCAGGCCCTGAGTTCAAGCCCCAGGACTGGCAAAAAAATAAAACTGAGTGTACTTGGGGCTGAGAAGGTGGCTTAGTGGTAGAGCGCTTGCCTTGCATGCATAAGCAAAAAGAAAAAAAGCCAGAAGTGGTGCTGTGGCTCAAATGGTAGAGCACTAGCCTTGAGCTGAAGAGCTGAGGGACAGCGCCCAGGCCCAGAGTTCAGGCCCTACGACCGGACCAAAAAAAAAAAAAGAGTACTTAGATAGGGTAAATTAAAGCTGTGTCTACAGCTTTTCTTCTCTACCTCCTTTTTTTTTTTGAGTTGGTCCTGGGGCTTGAACTTAGGGCCTAGTTGCTGTCCCTGAGCTTTTTCACTCAATCACTTGAGCCATAGCTCCACTTCTAGGTTTTTTAGTGGTTAATTGGAGATAAGAATCTTACAAACTTCCTGCCAAGGCTGGCTTTGAACCACAGTCCTGTTTATAGCCTCCTGAGTAGCTAGGATTACATGTTGGAGATAAGAGTCTCACATGGGCTGGGAATGAAAAGTAGAGTGCTTGCTTAGCATGCATGAAGCCCTGGGTTCCATTCCTTAGTACCACATAGACAGAAAAGGCCAGAAGTGGTGCTGTGGCTCAAGTGGTAGAGTGGTAGCCTTGAGCTGAATTGCTGAGGGATGGGTGCCCAGGCCCAAAGTTCAAGCCCCAGGACTGACAGGGGGAAAAAAAAAAAGGTATTTTCTTTTTTTCTCTCCTGGCTCCCCCCAATTTGGTGTTGGTGCTGGGGGTTTCTCGGGAACTTTTACTCCTGTTTAGCTTTTTCCCTTAAGACTTGCATTTCACCACTCATATCAAGACATTTTCTAATTTTATTTGTGATTTGTTCTTTGACCTATTGGTTATTTAATATTGACTTGCTTAACTCCCACATTTGCGAATTTTTCAGTTTTCCTTCTATTTCTGGCTTCCTATTTCATCGTGCTTGGAGGATACTCATTATTTTTTGTTTTTCTCTCTCAGCGGGTATTTCTTTGGGACTTGGACGAAACCATCATCATCTTCCATTCTCTACTTACTGGATCCTACGCCCAGAAATATGGAAAGGTAATCTCAGTCTTCTTTCATTGTAACTGTGTTTCCACTTGATGCCCTGTGAAAATACTAGTTTTTAGAAATGAAAGTCTTGAACATTTTAAGTGTTCATATAGTCTTTGGGACAATCCTAGATTCTTATTAATACAAGTACAATTACAATAATAGTTGCATTATTGTGGATCATTGTTCCTTTGACTTAGACCCAAAGTAATTTTGAAATTTTTGAAAATCAGAAACTAATGCTAAGTATCAAATTCAAGCAGTTTTCTCTTTTACTGTCTTTTAGGACCCAACAGTAGTGATTGGCTCAGGTTTAACAATGGAAGAAATGATTTTTGAAGTGGCTGATACACATCTGTTTTTCAATGACTTAGAGGTAAGCCCTTTACATTGTTCCAGTGATTCAGTGAGGTGTGTTGCTCAGGTACTATTTAGACCTATGCTTATAAGATAAGACCTGGTTAGATCAGATAGGGATTGAAAGACTAGTGGCCACAAGCGTGTAAGACCCTGGAAGATAGTGTCCCAGCCTGATCACCATAGCCTGAGTGCTTAGTTTTCTCCAGAATTTGTTTTTAGTTAGCTTATTTGGAAGTGGTGTAGCATTAGAAGAAATAGAAACCCATCAATGTTTTGCATGTTTTGATATATATATATATATATATGTTTTAATATGTAAAATGTTTTTATATATTTACATATTTGATAATATATAGAATGTTTTGATATATATATCAATGGAATCAATATTCCAATTTATTATGATATTAAATAACATTTGAAGGGTTTGGTTATTGGTACCATTAATTATATTTTCTATTCTTTGGTTTTACCTTCTTTAAAGTTTGTCCTTTGATTTGTCCAGTCGGTAAACAATTGTTCTAACTTGTTGTTTTCATTAGTGTTTTGGAGATGAAGTCCGATGTATCCTAGTCTGGCCTTCAATTCAACATCCTCCTGTGTCAGCTTACACACACACACACTCTCTCTCTCTCTCTCACACTCTCTCACACACACACACACACTCTCTCACACTCTCACACACACACATATACTCTCTCTCTCTCACACTCTCTCTCTCTCATTTTTTTTCTCTCTCTCTTGTTTTTTGGTACCATTCCTGGGGCTTGAACTCAGGTCTTCAGTGCTGTCCCTGAGCTTTTGTGCTCAAGGTCAATTTTCTGCCACTTGAGCCACTTCCAGCTTTTTGGTTGTTTATTGAGGTAAGTCTCACAGACTCAAATCCCAGGCTTGCTTTGAACCTCAATCTTCAGATCTCAGCCTCCTGAATAGCTAGGATTATAGGTGTGAGCACCAGTACCCAGGTCTCAGTGTATTTTTTTACTTATTTTCCATGTATAAGGACTTGATAATGCAGAATTGTTTTAAAAGACAGATGCTATGAAAATCAAGAAACACTAAGAACTTCTTGCTGAAAACTTTTTGGCTGTTACATTTGGATTCACCTTCAAGTTGAACAGGGTACTGTGGAAGGAACGCATGTCCAGAGTCAGAAGACCAGTGTTGAGTCTCAAGTTTGGAAAGTGATGTTCATCCTGGGCCTCAGTTAAATGGTCATTTGGGCAGGAAACAAGTACAATATCAGTTATTCTGGTTGGGGAATGGTTTGCTGGAAAGTATGGGGCAGATTTCACTTCATCTCTTTAAATGCTGAAAAAAAGCTTTTAAAAATAGTCAAGATTGCCAGACATTGGTGGCTCATGCCTGTAATCATAGCTACTCAGGAGACTAATATTTGAGGATCACAGTTCAAAGCTAGCACGAGCAGGAAAGTCTATGAGACTCTTACCTCCAATTAACCACCAGAAAACCAGATGTGGTGCTGAGGCTCAATTGGTAGAGCGCTCGCCTTGAGCTGAAGAACTCAGGGACAGTACCCAGGCCCAGAGTTCAAGCCCCACAACTGACCAAAAATAAGTCAAGATTTTAGTTAAGGGCATGGCTGAAGTGGTAGTGCACTTACAACTTAGCAAGGACAAAGTGCCAAGTTCAAACTCCACTACCATCAAACAAACAAAATAACACACAAAGCAATCCTATTTCTCTTTAAATACACTCTTATTCCCCTCAAAAGACATTTCTTCAGAAAATTTAATTAATAAGACTATATACTCCAGTGTTTTCTAAACTCTTTAATGCTTTATTCCCTCAACTTCATATGTTGATGAATTAAGATGGCTTAACTTTAATTCAACAAACATTTACTAAAATCTACTCTGCACCAGTAATTACTGCCAAATTGTATTTGTAATGATTTTTTAGACATAGTCCTCACTGAAGACTAAAAGCTCTGTGAAGAATTTCACCTGAATGTATTTACCCCTCACCCCACCCTGAGGTCAGTGGTTCTTAACTTCAGAGGGCGTAAGAGTCACCTGAGGAGCTGCTTAAAAATGGATCCTCTAAGCTGGGTGCTGGTGGCTCACGCCTATAATCCTAGCTACTGAGGAAGCTGAGATCTGAGTATCACAGTTCAAAGCCAGCCCGGGCAGGAAAGGCCATGAGACTCTTATCTCCAATTAACCACCAGAAAACCGGAAGTGGTGCTGTGGCTCAAGTAGTAGAGCACTAGCCTTGAGCTGAGGAGCTGAGAGAGTGCCCAGGCCCAGAGCTTAAGCCCCACAACCGACAAAAAAAAAAAAAAAGATCCTCTAGAACTTGACTCTCACAGAGGTTCTGATTCATGTAGTTCTGGGATTGACTCAGGAATATTCGGTCTTTATAAACTCCCTCAGAGGATTTTGATGCAAATGCCCAGTGGAGTACCCAAAGGAATACTTCCATTAGTGTTAGGCAGTGGTGGCATTTCATGTAGTGTGCCCTTGGTAGAAAAAGCTTTGGATTCAAAGCAGAAGACATAAGTTTATTGTAGTCTCTTTCTACCACTTACTAATTGTATGAGCCTAAGGAACTCACTTGACCTCCCTTTGAGGACAGGAGGAGATTGACTTAGGTAAGCTCCTCTCCATTTCTCAGTTTCAGTGCAGGCATTTCTATTTTAATCACTCTCAGTTGTTATACTATATTCTGCCAACATCTATTTCTTCTACAAAAACTAACTTTACATACTGTGTGAGGACACTAGACTAGACTAGAAGGATACAATAGAGTAAGATTTACATCCTAGTATACGACAAGAACATATCTGCAGTATAAGAGAGGTCGCTTCCCCAAGTGCTGTTTACATAAGACAAGAATTCAGAGAGGACCTCATTTTAAAAGGTTTCATGAGGGGCTGGGAAGGTGGCTCAGTGGTAGAGCGCTTGCCTTGCATGCCTGAGGCCCTGGGTTCGATTTCTCAGCACCACATAAGCAAAAAAGAAAAAAAAAAAAAAAGGTTTCATGAGGACTTTAGGGTGTGGACCAGGCTTAAAGGAAGTTGGACAACAGTGGGGTGATAGTGAATGATCCGCACACAGGAGAGACTGGAAGGTATTCCATTGTGCTGTTATTATGGCCATTTTGTAATATGTCATTTTGATGACCACAAACACTTCTTCTCCCTGGACTAAAATGGTGGTTTTTCTTTTAACAGGAGTGTGACCAGGTGCATGTGGAAGATGTGGCTTCTGATGATAATGGCCAGGATTTGAGGTGATAAACACAACAGTCTCTTGAACATCTACCTGTTATATGCAATGTACTGCCTGGGTTCAAAGGAAAGGAAAGATGAAGAAGCTCACAGCCTATTAGAGGAGGCATGACATAGGGTGTGAGGTTGATGGGGAAGAGAGAAGAAAGCGTTCTGCGGGTAATGGACAGGTGGTGCCACCACTGGAGAGGCTGTGTCTGTGGAATAGCACGTGAGTCCGGCCTCAAGAACACAGCATGGTAGAGTGAGCACACATCATTCCCAAGTAAAAGATCTGCTGATTTCTCTTTAGACAGACAGAGAAAATGTGTTTCCAACTATGTAGTTTATTATAATTCATTTGTTTATTCGTGATACGGGGCTTGAGTTCAGGGCCTCACATTTGCTCTATCATTTGAACCACACCTTTTTGTTGTTGTTGTCAGTTGTAGGGCTTTGAACTTGGGGCCTGGGTGCTGTCCCTGAGCTTGCTTCCTCACTCAGGGCTGGCGCTCTACCACTTTGATCTGTGGCTCCACTTCCAGTTTTCTGGTGGTTAACAAGATAAGAGTCTCAGGGACTTTCTGGGCTGGCTTTAAACCAGGAGCCTCAGATCTCAGCCTCTGCGTAGCTAGGATTATAGGTGTAAGCCACCAGTGTCCAGCATAAGAACACTACTTTTATGAGACTATTGGTCTTTATAGGAAAATGTCTAGTGTAAAGCAGTTTATAATGCATTCTGAACCCCTGTTTGTTTTATTTTCTCGCCTGTTTTGTGTTTGGCAATTTTGTTAAGTTGAGAATCTCACAGTATGTTGAGCTCAGACTTTATTGAATCAAGTTGTCTCTCTAGCTTTATTAATACTTAAAAACTATTAAATTGTCCCAACTAACTATATTAGTTACCTGCTGAACAACAAATTACCTCCAAAATTAGTAGCTTAAAACTATTAAAATATGTCTTATCTCAGTTTCTCTAGATCAGGAACTTTGAAAGCAGCTTAGTTAGGTAGGTCTCAGGAGTGAAGTCAAGTTGACTGGAGCTCAACTTAAATGGAGTCTAGAGGCAGGACTTGTTTCCATCCCCTCACCTGTGACTGAGCACAGGAGGCTCAGTTCATTACCAGCTGTACCTCTCATTGGGCGTGTCCTCAAGTGATAGCTCCAGAGACAGCAACAGAAGCCTACCACTGTCACTTTTGCCACATTGTGTTTATATTCTAAAGGTAGCTAATTCCAAAGAGGAACAGAATAAGAGTAGCAAACAGCTTGTGAACATATATATATATATTTTTTTTGATCGGTTGTGGCGCTTGAACTCTGGGCCTGGGCACTGTCCCTCAGCTCTTCAGCTCAAGCCTAGTGCTCTACCACTTGAGCCACAGCACCACTTCAGGCTTTTTCTGTTTATGTGGTGCTGAGGAATCGAACCTAAGGCCTCATGCATGCAAGGCAAGCACTCTACCACTGAGCTACCACCTGCCCAGCCCTTGCAGACATATTTTGAAGTAAACAGTTATTAGATACCCATAAGCCTGATAAACTAGTCAACAGATAACTGAAGAAATACATCTGTGGGCTGGGTAATGCACTGGGTAGTGCACTGCCCTGGCACTTGTGAGGCACTGGGTTCAATCCACAGTGCCAAAAACAAAAAAAAGGAGGAAAATAAGAAAAAGAAAACATGTGCCATTATCTGGCCATTATTAGCATTTGAGATTATTTTCTTCCATTACTTTATTTTAACATTTCTCCTTTTCATGAAGTTGTAACCATCAACTTTATATTCTGCCTTTTTTCACTGTACTGCTGTCTGGCATTAATGAAAAGAAATTAACCTAGGGGATTCTGGGACTTAAATTTATTTCTGCTTCCCTTCCTCCCAAGTCCTTTCTTTCTCTTTTATTTTTCTGTTTCTGTTTCATTCCTTAGTGCTAGTGGCTGAACCCAGGGTTTCATGAGTGCTAGGCAGATCTACCCCACATGCCCCTTTCTTTCTTTGATGGAAGTAATAGGGGTGAAATAAGAGGACTAATTAGAGAAAACTCTGACATACAAAGATTAGGTAGAAGACTCTTAAAACCATTCACCTTGTTTATCAAATACAAGGATCAGGACTAAGAGAATCTCAGGAACATTCAATAAAAACTTCATGAGGGCTGGGAATGTGGCTTAGTGGTAGAGTGCTAGTCTTGAGCAAACGAAAGCTAAGGACGATAAGAAAGCTAAGGACGATAAGGACGGGCCCTGAGTTCAAGCCCCAGGACAGACAAACAAAAACCCTCATGATTTTAATTTCCTTATCTCCTCTCTCCCCAGCAACTATAGTTTCTCCACAGATGGTTTCAGTGGCTCAGGAGGCAGTGGTAGCCATGGTTCCTCTGTGGGTGTTCAGGGAGGTGTGGACTGGATGAGGAAACTGGCTTTCCGCTACCGAAAAGTGAGAGAAATCTATGATAAGCATAAAAGCAACGTGGGTGGTAAGTGCCACAGGACCAGTGGAATTCTCTGTTGTCTTCCTAATTTCTTGCTTGTTTCCCAGTGCATCTGTAGATTCCTGCCAGCAGCTGCATGTGGAATTATGCATAGTAACATATTAACTCTATTTAAAAAAAAAAAAAAAGCCGGGCGCTGGTAGCTCACACCTATAATCCTAGCTACCCAGGAGCCTGAGATCTGAGGATCACCGTTCAAAGCCAGCCCGGGCAAGAAAATCCAGGAGACTATTATCTCCAGTTAACCACTCAGAAAACCAGAAGTGGCACTGTGGCTCAAGTGGTAGAGTGCTAGTCTTGAGCTGAAGAGCTCAGGGACAGCACCCAAGCCCAGAGATCAAGTCCCATGACCGACAGGGGGCGGGGACTGGGGGGTGGGGTGGGAGACAGAGCTGGGAAGGTGGCTTAGTGGTAGAGTGCTTGCCTAGCATGCATGAAGCCCTGGGTTTGATTCCTCAGTACCACATAAACAGAAAAGGCCAGAAGTGGTGCTGTGGCTCATACGGTAGGGTGATAGCCTTGAGTGAAAGAAGCTCAGTGATCGTGCCCAAGCCCTGAGTCAAGCCCAAGGACTGGCCAAAAAAAAACACATAGGGACCTGATCAAAACCCTTCTGGGAAAAAGTTCTGCACTTTTGGTAGACAGTAGAACAGAGTAGTGGGAGCTCTACATTACCCATTGCTCTTAGCATGACTTTGGAAAGCTTTCGTGCTCTATTGGGACAAATGCCGTTTTTCTTTTCTTTTTTCTTTTTTGGTGCAGTTACCCAGGCTAGAACCCGTGGCCTTTGTTTTTTGCTCACAACTGGCACTCTGCCACTATAGCCATGCCTTTACTTGGAGATAAGAGTCTAGAGGAGGAAGCTGAGCTATGGCTTCAGTGGTTGAACTCTAGCCTTGAGCAAGAGCAAAACAAACTAAGGGACAGCACCCAGCCCGACGTTAAAGCTCCAAGACTAGCACCAAAATGAAAACAAGAGGATTTGTCTCTCCATGATTCTCAGATCTCAGCCACCTGAGTAGCTAGGATTATAAGAGGAAGCCTTGACCCCTGTGACATATTCTTTTTTTGGTCAGTTGTGGGCTTTGAACTTAAGGCCTCAGCGCTGTCCCTGAGCTCTTTTGCTCAAGGCTAGCTAGCACTCTACCACTTGGAGCCATAGCTCCACTTGCAGTTTTCTGGTGGTTACTTGGAAATAGAGCCTCATGAACTTTCCTGCCCAGGCTGGCTTTGAACCTCAATCTTCAGATCTCTGCCTCCTGAGTAGCTAGGATTATAGGAGTGAGCCACCAGTGGCCAGCTTCTTTAGAAAGAGATTACCAGCTCAGAAGTCTCCAGCTGTAACCCACATTTCTTCCTGTGGATTTCTAAGGTGGTGCTGCTCAAGTGTGGTCCAGCAGTATGCAAACAACACTTGCTGGTGGGGAAAGGAGGAGCTTCGACCAGTCACATTACATGGTATACACTAGCTCATCTCCTTGTTACCATGTTATTACCATGCCTCTACACAACATTTTTGGTGAAGAAAATCAAAATGACATTAGAGTAACACTACTCAAAGGTTTCCCCAGGAAGAGGAATTAACTCAGGGACTAAGGTTATTAATAAATTGAATTTGTAAATTGCTTCCTAGATATCAGCAAGTATAATGTTGCCAAATGATACATGTCTGCTTTTAATCCCAAAGGCCTCCTCAGTCCCCAGAGAAAGGAAGCCCTGCAGAGATTAAGAGCAGAAATTGAAGTTTTGACCGATTCCTGGTTAGGAACTGCACTAAAATCCTTGCTTCTCATTCAGTCCAGGTATGGCAGTGGTTCTGTGGACTCTCATCCTCTCAGACACACTCTTTCCTGTCCTAGTCCAGGCTAGGCTCGTTGGCTGCACAGTAAGGTTTGAGAGTAAAGGTATGAGGTATTTAAGTGATTCATGGCATATATAGATTAGGTCATGTTAACAGCACACCTTAGAGTTTTAAGACAATATTTACTAATTTGAGCCCCTCTTTCTCTCCTCTTTTTACTCTCAAACTAAACTTAATAACCCATAATCTCTAGCCCAGGAGATAGAGAATCAAAGAAAAAGTGAGCAATGTAAGTACAGAAAGCTCTAAGAATGTAACTAGAACAGTCAGGAAGGCAAAAATCAAAAGAAAAGGAGTAGGAAGTTAAAGGGGAAAATGGTAAGTTAGGCGCCAGTAACTCACACCTAATCCTAGCTACTCAGGAGGCTGAGATCTGAGGATTGCAGTTCAAGGCCAGTCTGGGCAGGAAAGTCCATGAGATTCTTACCTCCAATAAACCACCAGAAAACCAGATGTGCCCCTGTGGCTCAAGTGGTCGAGCACTAGCCTTGAGCTAAAGAGCTAAGGGACAGCGCCCAAGCCTAGAATTCAAGCCCCACGACTCTCCTTAAGATGCATTGTATGCATAAATAGACATATGCAATTAATTGGTGCTAGTTTTTATTTTAAAAAGATTAGGAGAGTTCAGCTTGACTCTTAGGCTAGAAAATAAATGCAGCCATATTTGTAATTGCTTCCTCCCCCAAAGCATGAATTCCATGTCTACAATCTGATCAGAAATGAAACTGAAGCTGGGTACCAGTGCTCACGCCTGTAATCCTAGCTACTCAGGAGCCTGAGATCTGAGGATTGAGGTTCAAAGATAGCTAGGGCAGCGAAGTCCATGAGACTCTTATCTCCAATAGCCACCAGAAAACTGGAAGTGGCACTGTGGCTCAAGTGGTAGAGCACTGGCCTTGACTGAAGAGCTGAGTGACAGCGCCCGCCCAGAGTTCAAGCCCCATGACTGACCAAAAAAAAAGAAAGAAAGAAAACTGACACTGAAGGTAGATACCTTGTACAGCAAAGGACTTGGACAATTAGTGAATCTTATAGAATGATTGTTATTATGTGAAGAACCCAAAGAAACTAAATTAAATCTCAGCTAAAGACTGAATTGCATTTCCATTAACTAGAATATTATTCCCAGTAATAAAGAACTCTCCATTTTTTGTTTTCTAAAGTATGGTATCGGTGACAACTTATTTGCTAATAAGCTGCATAGTCAGAAGGAAGTAAGGCATGAATTTAAGTGCTTGTTCTCTGTCCACAGAGCAGGATATCTGCCCTGGTATAGAAAACAAAACTCAGTAGTAAAAGTAATAACTGAACATTGGGACTGAACAACAATACCAGGTTCTTTGTGCTTAATTTTAGTAATTAGATCCCAAGAGTGGGCCAATTTGATTTCTATCTCTTAGGTTGATTCAGTTTCACATTTTTTTTCCCTTTCCTTCTAGGAAGAACTGTGTGAACGTTCTTATCACTACCACCCAGCTAGTTCCAGCCCTGGCCAAAGTTCTCCTGTATGGGCTAGGAGAAATATTTCCTATTGAAAACATCTATAGTGCTACCAAAATTGGTATGGGTTCTTTATTTTTCTTCTCCTCCTCCCTCCTCGTCTCTCTTCCTTCCCTTCCTTCCCTCCCCCTTTTTTTGGGTCCGGTCATGGGGCCTGAACTCTGGGTCTGGGCGCTGTCCCTCAGCTCTTCAGCTCAAGGCTAGCGCTCTACCACTTGAGCCACAGCGCCACTTCCGGCTTTTTTCTTTTTTTGCTTATGTGGTGCTGAGGAATCGAACCCAGGGCCTCAGGCATGCAAGGCAACTGCTCTACCACTGAGCCACCTTCCCAGCCACCCCCCTCCTATTTTTTTTTGTTGGTAGTAGGGGTTGAACTCTGGGTCTGGGTCTGGGTCTGGGTCTGGGTGTTGGCCCTGAGCTGGTCTGGGTCTGGGTGTTGGCCCTGAGCTCTTTTTACTCAAGGCTAATGCTGTACCACTTTGAGCCACAAGGGCACTTCCAGTTTTCTGGTGGTTAACTGGAGATAAGGATCACATGGACTTACCTGCCTGTGCTGGCTTTGAACCCCAATCCTCAGATCTCAGCCTCCTGAGTACTTAATATTGTAGGTGTGAGCCACTGGCACCTGGCTCCAAAATCACTCCACTCCTCATCACTATTACAGTGAAACTCTAGTCAGACATGTGTCCTTGCCAGCTTTGCTGTTACACAGTTCATTGCTATACCATTTGCCAACATGATATTTCTGATGAAAGAGCTAGAAGAACCTACTTCTAGCTTAAACATCTATTTTTGACTTGTTTGTAGTTTTTTCTTTTCTCAGAGAGTTTGTAGTGTGATAGCACTATACACCTACAAGCCCAGCACTTGGGAGGCAGAGGCAGGAAGATCTCAAGTTCAAGGCGTATCAGTCTGGGCTATATAGCTTAGGCCAATCTGAGCTATGTAGCATGACCATGTCCTTTTTTTTTTTTTACTTACCTATACCTGTTAGGATGGCTAATATTTAAGATAATAAACTTTAAAATAACAGAAAATGCTGGGCACTGGTGGCTCACACCAGTAATCCTAGCTACTCAGGAGGCTGAGATATGAGGATCACGGTTCAAAGCCAGCCCTGGCAGGAAAGTCCTTCAAACACTTATCTCCAATAAAAACCACTAGAAAACCGGAAGTGGCGCTGTGGCTCAAGTGGTAGAGCTCTCGCCTTGAGCTGAAAAGCTCAGGGACAGTGCCCAAGCCCAGAGTTCAAGCCCCACAACCGACCAAAAAAAATTAAAGAAAGAAAATTAAGTCAAGTGGTAGAGCGCTCACCTTGAACTGAGCTGAAGAGCACAAGGACAGCACCCAAGCCCAGAGTTGTAGCCCCATATCTGACCAAAAAAAAGAAAAGAAAAGAGTAGACCAGCATATAACCCAGCAGTCCCACTTCTGGGTGCATATCCAGAAGAATTGGTTTCCAAATTCTTGAGTCATATCCTGCTACTCAGAACAGAGTCTCAAAGAGGTAATTACACATCCATGCTCACAGCAGCCTTACTCACAATAGCCAAGAGATGGGAGAAGCCCAAGTGTGTGTCACTAGATGAATATGGGATCCATACAGGGAACTCTGCCTACAAAAAGGAAAGAAATCCTCTCACTTGCTACCACACAGATGAACCCTGAACCTTATACCAAGCTAAATGAGACAGCGCCAAAAAAATAAGATCATATGACGCTACTTATGAAAGGTCCCTGGAGTGGTGAAATATATAGAAACAGAAGTAGAATGGTGGTTACCAGGAAGTGGGACAGAGTTATTAGGTATAGGATTTCAATTTCCCAAGAAGAAAAAGTTCTGGAGGTCTATTTTGTAACCATTTCCACAAAAAGTATAAGAGGCCAGAGCAAGAATATGTAAGGAGAGTATAACAGTAAGAATTAGGGTTAGAGAGGCTAAAGGAGGTGGTGGGAGACCCTGGGGGCCTCACAGAATGAAACACTTTCGTAAGGTTTTGATTGGAAGATCGCATGATCTGATCCAAACCTTCAGTGGATCAGTTTCACGGCGTGTGCTATCTTGAGGACAGTTAGGAGGCGTTGTAATACTTTAGCTGGGGGAACTATGAAGGCAGAGCTGACAAGAGATACCTTTACAGAAGCTATGGCCCAGGCAGGAGGTAGGATACAGCCTTGACAAAATCCTGACTTGGAACCTACCTTCAGGCAGTGGTCCAGGACAGGTGCCTTCTCCAGTGGAAGGGAAGCAGAAGTGTACATTCCAGATATTAGGAAAAGCAAAATTTGAATTCTCAAAATAAAACACAGGAGTGTCTATAATTTTCAATATCTTTGTATAAGACATAGAAGATATTTTTTTTAAAAAAAGAACAGTCATTGGGTTTGGTAAACTGCCTTGTCCTCCTGAGAAAGGAGTGCTTATAGTGACAGTTGACAACTGATAACTGTTGATACTCTCTCGGCCTCTTCATACTCACAGAAGAGATGCTCCAAAGCGTGTTTCATCCTTGATGAGTGCATGCCAGGATAATGAAAATGTGTCTGTGTCCTTGTCCCTGACTATGACATGTTCCTTTGCTGGGTCTTAGGAGAAAGTATGAAACCAACTCACAAGTTCTTTTCTGTAGACAATTCCTACTGGAATGTGGGTCTGGCAGAGGTTGAGAGGTTGAATTTGACAAAGAACATAATAAGTCACTATTAGCTGAGTTACTTAATGTTTGAACTAAATTAGGTTTCATTTGTGAGACTGATGTGAATTTACCCAGCAATAGCAATTAAATGTGCCAGAGAAATGCAATGCCTGACTGCCATTGCAAATACCAGCACTGAAGCACCTGTGTGCTCCAAGTCCAGCCTTTTATTTATTTATTTCTTACTTATTTATTTTTCCAGTCCTGGGCTTGAACTCAGGACCTGGGTGCTGTCCCTGAGCTTCTTTTTTTTTTCTTTTTTTGTGGGGGGGTCTGGTCGTGGGGCCTGAACTCAGGGCCTGGGCGCTGTCCCTCTGCTCTTCAGCTCAAGGCTAGCGCTCTACCCCTTGAGCTACAGTGCCACTTCCGGCTTTTTTCTTTTTGCTTATGTGGTGCTGAAGAATTGAACCCAGGGCCTCATGCATGCAAGGCAAGCGCTCTACCACTGAGCCACCTTCCCAGCCCTCCCTGAGCTTCTTTTGCTCAAAGCTAGCTCTCTAGCACTTGCGCCACAGTGCCACTTGTGGCTTTTTTTCTGTTTATGTAGTACCAAGGAATCGAACCCAGGGCTTCATGCATGCTAGGCAAACACTCTACCACTAAACCACATTCCCAGCACGAGCCTTTTATTTAAAAGGACCAGAATGACTTTCACTCATGTGGTCAATCACTACTAAATAACCCATGCTGCTGATCACATATATGGCATATATATGCACACCGGAGGGAAACCAGGAGGACCACAGAACTAGAGGGAATCAGGGAAAAACATACAACAGCGGGACCCATCAGCTGCACTGGACATTGATCAAAATGAACCAAGCAACTCAATGGCAGCGATGGGATGGAGGGAACCAGTGGGAAAGAGGGAAGAGCTGACGCTGCAAAACAAAAGAAATGTACATATCACCCAATGTGGAAGAAATACTGTATTGCAAAGCTCATAGAACTCAAATGTTATAGACCACGATAGACAATTTGCCCCATGAAAGTTAGAATGTGTTTGTGACTAAGCATCACTATCCCACAATACTATGAAATTTGGGAAATTATGTAATCAGTTAATCACAATAAAGAATTTGAAAAAAAATAAAAAATGATTGGACCAGAATGGATAGTGTCTGGTCCAGGAGACAGTCACGGGGCCCATGAGCTAGGATGTAGGAGAGGTAGAGCTATTCAGATATGTTTAGAGATGAATGTTAAGATGGAGGTGCTTGTCAGTTACGGTCTGTCTTTGTACATGGTAAGTACCACTACCTTCCACCAGATGGCAGTCAGGCATCTTGAGAAAAGCGCCCTGCTGCTAAGTCATTGGATCTGGCAAGAAGAGAAGGTTAAAATAGCCGGAAGAAGAGGAACTAAATTAGGAATCTGCCTAACTGAAGACATAGGGAAATAAATACCAAAATGGTAGCTCAGGAACAATTCCCAGGCCCTGAGTTCAAGCTCCAGGACTGACCAAAAAAAAAAAAAAAAACTGGTTCACACCTGTTATCCTAGCTACTCAGGAGGCTGAGATCTGAGGAAAACATTCAAAGCCAGCCCAGGCAGGAAAGTCTGTAAGACTCTTATCTCCAATTAACCACTAGCAAACCGTAAGTGGAGCTGTGGCTCAAGTAGTACAGTGCTAGCTTTGAGCAGAAAAGCTCAGAAACAGCACCGAGCCCCTGATCAGATTCAAGCCCCTTGACTCACCAGAACAAAAATGGAAATGGTGAAGAAATAGCAAGGATACAATTTCCTTTTATTTATGCAAATAATAGCTCTTTCCTACAGAGATATGCTCTGAGCATGTTTTAGATACTTGAATTTGATACCCTGGCATATTTCTCAGAACTGTGATGGACTTATATCATTCATTTCCCAAAGCCAGTTTTAATGCTGCAATCTCTCAGTTCAGTAAATGTGGTCAGATTTTTTTTGCTTGTGCTCTGGAGTTCCCCCTACCACTCTCTATAGCTCCACCAAGAAAAAAATATACAAGGCTTGTGCCCAAAACCATTGCTAGAAAATCATGAGTTATAAATATGGCTTTTTTCCATATTTTCTTTTTTTTTTGTCAGTTCTGAGGCTTGAACTTAAGGTCTGGGCGCTGTCCCTGAGCTGCTTATGCTTAAGGCTAGCACTCTACCACATGAACCACAATGCCACTTCCAGCTTTTTATGTGTATGTAGTACTGAGGAATTGAACCCAGGGCTTCATGCACACTAGGCAAGCACTCTACCACTAAGCCACGTTCTCAGCCCTCCATATTTTATTTCTAATAAGAAACTGGGGCCCTATGCTTCCACTTCTTCCCATTTTAAAACATTTCACCATCAAGGGCTGGGAAGAAAAAGCCAGAAGTGGCACTGTAGCTGAAGCGCTAGAGCACTAGCCTTGAGCCGAAGAGCTGAGGGACAGAGCCCAGGCCCAGAGTTCAGGCCCCATGACCGACAAAACAAAAAACAAAAAAATTTCCCGTGAAAACCATTCTTCATAGCACAATGGTCAGGTCAAATCTCGCTGCTGGCTTGCTTGTGACCTAAGGCAAGCCACTAAACCTATGCAGTCCACTGTCCTCTGTAAAGAGGGGAATGGTATCTGTCTCATGAATTATTTTGAGAATTAAGTGAGGGAGTAAATAAGAAAATGCTCTGGATGCGCAGGAAGAGGGAGGTGCCATTGACTGCTCACACAGCCTCGGCCCCATGGCCTCCCATTTTGAAATTCCCTCACACCATTTGGAGACTTCACCTGGACTGAAGGTTAAAATAAATTATCATAGTGGCTAGGAATGTGTCTTACTGGTAGAGTGCTTGCCTAGCATGCCTGAAGCCTTAGTTTCGATTCCTCAGTACCACATACACAGAAAAAGCCGGAAGTGGAGCTGTGGCTCAAGTGGTAGAGCGCTAGCCTTGAGCAAAAGCAGCTCAGAGACAGTGCCCAGGTCTTGAGTTCCAGCCCCAGGACTGGCAAAGTAAAAAATAAAAACAGTCATAATGGCACACATTCGCTTGCTCTGCCCAAGCCTATTAGCTCCAATGGGATCTCTGACTCCTGCCCAGAACTCCCTACCAGACTGCGCGGTCTGCCACTTGTTTCCGTCCAAGCACAGGTAGATGAATTCAGCAGCAGTCTGCATCTTTGGTGTTGAAAAACAGTAGGGAAGAAACTGCTAATAACAAATTTCTTCTCCTCAGGTAAAGAGAGCTGCTTTGAGAGAATTGTGTCACGATTTGGAAAGAAAGTCACATATGTAGTGATTGGAGATGGACGAGATGAAGAAATTGCAGCCAAACAGGTAACCGTGGTGAAGAAAAGAGTGTGTGCGCTGTGAGCAATTCAAAAAACAGTAAAACAAAATGGTAAAACTCAGTTTGTTGTACAACTCAGATGTTTGGGCAACTGTAGTGTTTTCTTTCCTTCACTTCCTTCTCCCATTCTTTCATTTTTTTTCTTTCTTCTTTTTTTTTTTTTTGTGCAGTCCTATGGCTTCAATTCACCGTTCCCTAGGTTTTGTGCTCAAAACTAGCATTCTGCACTTTGAGCCACAGCTCCACTTCCAGGCTTCCAGCATTTTTGGTAGCTAATTGAAGATAAGGTTCTTATGTGCTTTCCTGCGCAGGCTGGCTTCAAACTGCGATCCTCAGATCATGGTTTCTGGGTAGCTAGGATTACAAGCATGAGCCTGGGTCCCATTTTTTGCTTTTTGTTTTTGTCAGTCATAGGGCTTGAACTCAAGACCTGGGCACTATCCCTAAGCTTTTGCTCAAGGTTAGTGCTCTACCACTTTGAGCTACAGCACCACTTAAAATTTTCTGGTGGTTAATTGGAGATAAGAGTCTCATGGACTTTCCTGCCCTGACTCACTGAACTGCAGTCCTCAGATTTCAGCCTCCTGAACAGTTAAGATTATAGACATGAGCCACCAATGCCCAGCTCTGTTTTTCTTTAAGGAATGAGAAAGGTAATTTTCCCCTCAGATGGAGCTTTCCCAGTACAAGGTTAGCTCCTCCCCTAGCCCCTCCTTCCTGCCACTCAGGAATCTTCAAAGCATTCCTCCTAGTTACATGGATTCCATCATTAATCCTGATGTGGGCTCCACCATTGCCTTTATTCAAGGTGACCATCAAGAGCATGAGGCTTGATTACGGAAAGGAATCATTCTTTTCTGGGCTTCAGACTAGAAGTGGTAATGGGGAGGATATCAATGGAGAGTTATTTTTTTGTTTGTTTTGGCTTTGGTTTTGGTTTTGGTTGGTCATGGGGCCTGAACTCGGCCTGGGTGCTGTCCCTCTAGCGCTCTACCACTTCAGCCACAGCGCCATTTCTGGCTTTTTTCTGCTTATGTGGTGCTGAGGAATTGAACCCAGGGCCTCATGCATGCAAGGCAAGACTCTACCATTGAGCCACCATCCCAGCCCAGAGAGTTGTTTTTGTAATGAAAATCCTTCCTACTGGTAACCCCATCACTATACAGGTCCCAGCTGGACACTGGTGGCTCATGCCTGTAATCCTTGCTACTCAGGAGGCTGAGATGTGAGGATCATGGTTCAAAGCCAGCCCAGGCAGGAAAGCCCGGGAGACTCTTACCTCCAATTAACCACCAGAAAACCGGAAGTGGCACTATGGCTCAAATGGAAGAGCACTCGCCATGAGCTGAAGAGTTGAGGGACAGCGCCCAGGCCCAGAGTTCAAGCCCCATGACAAACCAAAACAAAAACGGGTCCCAGCTCCAGGTCATTCCTTCTGAATGCAGGAAAGGAAACAGATGATGGAAGTCTTTGGCTGGAATCTAAAGTCAGGCAGGTTCATTTAGGTGCAGTGGCTGTGCATGTCTGCCATGCCTGCTACTCTGGAGGCAGAGAAGAGGATCACTTGAGCTTAGAAGTTTGGGGTCAACCTGAGCAACATAAAGAGACCCTATTTTTAAAAAAGTAAAATAAAATCAGACAAGTTCAAAGCCCATGCATTTACTAGCTGTGTGGCTTTAGACAATTTACTTGTCCTCTTTGAATTCCTTCATCTGTAGCTAGATCTGTATAGAGTTCTGTGTGTGCCACCCCAGTTGATTTATTTTGCCAGTCCTGGGGCTTGAACTCTGGGCCTGGGCGCTGTCCATCAACTCTTCAGCTCAAGGCGAGCGCTCTACCACTGGAGCCACAGTGCCACTTCCAGTTTTCTGGTGATTTATTGGAGATTTAATAAGAGTCTCCCGGACTTTCCTGCCTGGGCTGGCTTTGAACCATCTCAGCCTCCTGAGTAACCAGGATTACAGGCATGAACCATCAGCATCCAGCTAATACTCATTTTATCTGAGACATTTCATTTGATCCTGAAGATCTTATGTAATCACTGGGACAGGCCTCATGGAAGTACAGTTATCACTGAAACCTAATCAGAACTTCTCACAGTTGTACAAAACGTTCATACATTCAACTTATTTCTTCCTGACTGACAGTCCTGAGAGTTGGGCCCTGTGATAGTTACTAGCCTGTGCTCTGGGAGGGGTCTGTGGAGGATGGGGCTGAGCAAGTAAAAGCGCCCAGGAGGAGTTGGGCTCACCAGCTGTCCCCTCTCTTGCAGCACAACATGCCCTTCTGGAGGATCACAAACCACGGAGACCTAGTGTCCCTTCACCAGGCTTTGGAGCTTGACTTCCTCTAAGAACTGGAATGGGGGACTTCCTGTGGGCTCCTTTCTCTCCTGAAGGGAGCCAGAAGCAACTGGGAACTTCCTTACTTTCTCTCCTCTGTCTCTGTCTCTGTCTGGCTGTCTAGCTGTCTCTCCTTCTCTCTCCTCTCCTCTCCTCCCCGCCCTCTCTGGAATGCTGGCGAGAACACAATCAAAACCAACAACTGCAACTTTTGCCAAGAGTGAGCACAGCCTGTGTCCATCCTCACGCACACTAGACAGGACGGGGGGGGTTGGGGGGGGACATCACCTTTCTGCAGCTGCAGTGCTTTTCATTCTTCTGTGTTTTGTTTCCAGAAAGGAAAAACACAAAAGGGAATTCTCGGGGTACGATTGTACTCAGTCTGCGAGCAAGTGGCACTGCTGCCCCTTGTGGTAAGGGGCAGTGCAGCGGCGTTTGGGAGGCCGTCCCCTACCGTCTTTAGGGGATGCCGTGTATAGAGGGGAGGGTCTGCTCTCTGAAGCAGGTTCCCCTGTCCTGTCAAGAAAGAGGCGTGGAGGCTTCCATACAAACAGTCGCTGAAGGAGCCGAAACCCTCGGTGGCGGCACTTCCTCCTCTGCCCCTCAGCTGGCTCGCTCCATGGTGGGCACTGGGTACTGGTGAACTTTAGGCTTTGGCACCGCATCCTAGAGCCTCAGTCCCCCCTCAGTCCCGCTTCCCCTTAAACTACATGGCACAACCCTGAAACCTCTTTCCTTAGGCAGTAAATTTGAAGCTGTCTGGTGGACTCTGACTTAGAAACTCCATCCCAGGAGGCTTAGCCATCAAACTGGAGACAAGGGACACAGGCTTCTTAGGATATTTCATCCACTTTGGCTCTTGAGACCAGAAGATTCCAATTATTTCTCCTGCAGAGAAGCCCTCTCCTGCCGGACACTCTCCTTCAGCCGCTTCCCGACCCCTCCTGGATCCCTCCCCGCCCTCAGAGCCTCTCATCCACTGCACCCGGCTCCAGCTCCAGCCAGGCCCTGCCCAAGCGGGTAAAGAGGTCAACTCAAGCCTAAGCACAAGCTCCTAGCTACTTCCTGGAGGAGGCCCTTCACCTGCAGGGTATCCTAGGCGGGAATTTACCCAGATCTCTGCCAGGAACCTAATTTCCTATGGGACACCCTACTTTCAAATCCCATTCTAAGGTGGGAAAGCAGAAAGACTTCCTTGATTTAAATGAGAGCACTAGTTCTTCTGTTTCATGTCTGAAATCCAGAGCCAGGTGCGAGCTCACCCCTCAGCCTGCCCCTGCCAGCTTGGTGTTGGTCCCAGCCCTCATCCCGCCTCCTAGCCTACCTGTGTTTCTGTGGATGCCCTCTCTCTCCAGGATTACCCGCACACCTGCTCAGAAGGTTTGAACTTCCCCATTGCAGCCTTGGGCCTCAGAAGGAGGTCCTTAAAGCAACCCCCGCTGAAATCTCAGGTCCTCAATGCTGTGTACCCATTCCCACAGATGTCGAAGCACAAGGCAGCAAGATTCTTTCCAACACAGGCTCACACAGCTGCTGCCCAGGCTTAGAGCTGGCGGGAAGCACTTCATGGTCTAAGGTTTAGGAAGAGGCTTCCATCATTTAGATGCCGTGGCCTCTGTTTCCGGATGGGAGTGCGAGCAGGGAGGGATTCTGAGGCCAACCTTCCCGGTCTGTCCACAGCTGCTGCCCACATGCTGCCCTGCCTTGTTGGAAAGCTCTCGGCCCTCCGCTCACTTCCACGGTAGCTGTTGACTTCTGGTCTGGACAGAGGCCCCCCCACTGGGTCTGGGCCTCACCCTGCGCAGGCTGTTCGCCCTAGCAGCCACCCTCTACTCTGGGAGAGTTCTTTATTCCTAGAGTATGGCCTTTTCCTCTTACTCTCACTGCCCAGCTTAGCTCTTTCCAAGAGGAAATTAGACTTGGCCAGTGAGAAGTGGTGAGAAGTTCTGAACGGAGCAGCCTCTGCTCTCTGGCGGCCGCCGTCCTCATGGAGAGGACAGATGAGAAGCAGGTCCTTCTAGGTCATCCTCGCCAAGAGCGATCGTCCAGGGGTCACTGCCCTTGCTCCCCTCCCCGCCCAAGGACCTGGAAGGGAAGGAAAAGTTGCTGGAGGCTCGGGCCTGAGCCTCCCACAAGGCAGGACCCCTCTTCCCACAAGAGGGAGTGCACTGAAGCTGGCCACATGGGGACCTGCCCTGCCTGGCACTGTTCCGGAAGGCGATGGGGCATCTAGCAGTGGGAGCTGTTTCTGTGGTGGCTCTGGAGGTGGCGTGACTTTCGAATGTAAAACTAACTGTGCCTTAGCATCACCCTGTCCGATGGGGCAGCTGGTGATGTCCAGGAGAGGGGACCCCTGCTCCACATTTAGGTGCCCATTTGGGCTTTTGTTTGATTTGGGCTGTTTCTGTCTTCTGCCCTGCAAGTTAAGGGGCAAAGCTAGAGTCCCCATACTTGCCGCTTGTTCAGTTTCCACAGTGTCGGGTAGGATGTGACGGGCGAACTCAGCTACAGGATGTGGAGCTTCTAATTGCACACTACCTTGCCCGGAGAGCGGGGCCACAGAACTGAAGGAACCCCAGGCAGAGCAGGCTCCGGCCGTCCTCCCCCGAGAGCCTGGGCTAGGCCCAGGAGTGGTGAACTTGAGCCCCTCTTTTCCTCCCCAGGGAGCAGTTAGGGCCCCCTCTTGAGCAGGCTTGTTTTCTCCTTAAACTGCTTTTCATTTTCATCTGGAAATTAGAATTCAGCAGATACGTATGTTGAAGAAGCCAAATCGGAATTCTGAGATTCTCAAGTCATCACAAGTCTAGGTGTGTGGCAGCGTCGATCAGCAGCTCCGCCCCCCGCCGCGCAGCTGCGCTCCGGCTGCTCCCCACGCACCCGCAGGAGCCAGCCCATTGAGTTGGCTAAGATTTCTACTCCACACCCAGCTCTCCCTCTGGACTTCACCTGCCTCTTAGCAGGAAAGGCATTGGGCATTGGTCAAATTGGATATATTTATGTGACTGCGGGCATTTGTGGCTGTAGAATCCTTGACCATAATGTTCTATGTAATGGGAACTATCTTATAAACTTGAAAAAAATAAAGTTTTTATTTTCTATATAGACTTTCCTGTGTCTTTTTTTTGGTTGGTTCTGGGGCCTGAACTTTGGGCGCTGTCCCTCAGCTCTTCAGCTCAAGGCTAGCGCTCTACCACTTGAGCCCCAGCACTACTTCCTGCTTTTTCTGCTTCTGTGGTGCTGAGGAATGGAACCCAGGGCCTCACGCATGGAAAGCAAGCACTCTACCAACGAGCCACCTTCCCAGCACTCCTGTCTTTTCTGAATAAGATTATTCCCATTATCCCATGTGTTGGCACTAATCATGCTTGATCAGAATAAAGCGTTCAGGGAAAGATATCACCCTGTCGATAACTGGGTCCTTAATTTTATTTAAAAAAGTAATTTAACCCAGCATCAGTGGCTCACACCTGTAATCCTAGCTATTCAGTAGGCTGAGGATCTGAGGATCACAGTTCAAAGCCAGCCCGGGCAGGAAAGTCCCTGAGACTGTTATCTCCAATAAACCACCAGAAAACTAGAAGTGAGGCTGTGGCTCAAGAGGTAGGGTGCTAACTTTGAGCTGAAGAGCTAAAGGACAGCACCCAGGCCCAGAGTTTAAGCCCCACGACCGACAAAAAAGTAACTTTTAAAAAACTGCCACCCAGTGCTGGTGGCTCACACCTGTAATCCTAGCTACTCATGAGGCTGAGATCTGAGGATCACCGTTCAAAGCCAGCCTGTGCAGAAAAGTCCATGAGATTCTTCAGTAAACCACCAGAAAACCAGAAATGGCGCTGTGCCTCAAAGTGGTAGAGCACTGGCTTTGAACTAGCCTTGAGCAAAAAGAGCTCAGGGACAGTGCTCAGGTCCAGAGTTAAGGCCCCATAACTAACAACAACAAAACTAAAGCAGCCCTGTACCAGTGGCTCATTGTCTCTAACTACTCAGGAGATTGAGAACTAAGAATCACAGTTCAAAGCCAGCAGGAAAGTCCCAAAACTTATCTCCAGTTAACCACCAAAAAGCCAGAAGTGGAGCTGTGGTTCAAGTGGTAGAGATGGTAGAGTGCTAGCCTCAAGTGAAAAAGCTCAGTGCTGGGAAGGTGGCTCAGTGGTAGAGCGCTTGCCTTGCATGCCTGAGGCCCTGGGTTTGATTCCTCAGCACCACACAAGCAAAAAGAAAAAAGCCGGAAGTGGCGCTGTGGCTCAAGTGGTAGAGTGCTAGCCCCTTGAGCTGAAGAGCTGAGGGACAGCGCCCAGGTCCCACGACTGGACCTCCCCCCCCAAAAAAATGAAAAAGCTCAGGGACAGCACCCAGGCCCTGAATTCAAGCCCTAGGACCAGCTCTCTCATGCGCTCGCGTGCGCTCTCTCTCCATATACACATACATGAAAATGAATTTTAATTTGCAAGGGAATATTTCATATTTCTGAATTATTTCTAAAATACATTGCTTTTTTAGGTTAGAACTGGAATAATTCCTGTCATATGTGCTAAGCTTTATTAAAAAGAAGCCAATTTTTCTTTTTTTTCTTTTTTTTTTTGGTTGATTGTGGGTGCTGTCCCTCAGCTCTTCAACTCAAGGCTAGCGCTCTGCCTCTTGAGCCACAACGCCACTTGCAGCTTTTTCTGCTTATGTGGTGCTGAGGAATCAAACCCAGGGCCTCATGCATGCAAGGCAAACATTCTGCCACTGAGCCATCTTCCCACTCCCCCAATTTGTCTTTTTGGTAATTAATTAGAGATAAGTCTCACTGTCTTTCCTGCCCAGGCTGGCTTTGAACCATGATGCTCAGATCTCAGCCTTCTGAGTAGCTAAGATTACAGATGTTAGCCACAGCTCCAGGCTTTTTTTGCTTAGCTTTAATTGCAGACATATCAGTTTCATCTAGAATATGCAAAATACGAAGCTGGGGGGGGGGGGTAGTTTGTGTGTGTGTGTGTGTGTGTGTGTGTGTGTGTGTGTATGTTTTTAGATTTCCTCAGGTGGGAAATGGGGAGTTGTCTAAAATGTTGGCTCATCTTTTGGGACACATGGCTTCTCCTTGAACCTGCCTCGTCTTTACATATGACAAGAAGAAAAACTAATTAGATTATTTGACTTAGATTGGTGAAACTCCTAAGACGTCTCAAGCCATGTGGCGCACTAAGCCCAATCAAGCCTACCCTCCAGGTCTCAACTCTTGCATGAGAGAAAACAGCAGTGATCTCAGGTTGTGTATGTTTAAATGTATTCAGTTAAAAGAATTTTGAACAAGGTATTTTATGAGAAGATATTTTTGTTTTGCTTTTCAATGGTACTGGGATTTGAACAGTAGAGTTATGCTTACTAAGCTGGTGCTCTGCCACTTAAGCCAAACCCCCAGCATTTTTTGCTTTTTCAGATGAGGTCTTGTATTTTTGTCTGGGGGTAGCTGACCTTAGACAACAATCCTCCTACTTATTTCCTGCATAACTGGGATTATGGGTGTAGCACATCACAGCCATCTTATTTATTAAGATGCAATCTCATTAACTTTTTGACTAAGCTGGCCTTGACTCATGATCCTCCCAAACCCTGCCTCCAGTGGTTGGGAATTACAGGCATGAACCACTACCTGGCCAAGATGAGGATTATTTTAATGGCCTTTTCTGTTAACAGTGAGTTGCTGGTGTTAGCACATAATATTATAATACATTAAATGTTACACTGTTCATTGTATCTCCACTAAATAGCAGAACTAAGTATCCTCAGTTGTGGATCCCATACCTGGTAACAGAAACCTTCTGTCCTTTCGTCCTTCTCCAAACCACACACCTCCCAGACCAGCAAAAGGTTCTACAGAACCACCATGGAAGTGACATCCCATAAGCACCTCACCATGTAACCTTTGAAGAGCTCCTAGCAGAGGCCTTCCTCCGCCTGCTCCTACAGATGCTCTGGCTGCTAGCGGCAGAGCTGGGGTCCAGCCAGCCCTCGTGCCAGCCAGTGAGCAACCCTACACCAGCTCAGCTCCTAAACCTTGGAAAACAAAGAAGCGGCACCACGCCAGCCCTCTTCTCTCCCAGGTGCCTTTGCCAATCATAAAGAACTACACGTCCCCACTCCTTCCAAAAGGTATTAATGACACAGTCTAGAGTGGAAGATTTCCCAGGGTTTTAATCACAACCCAATAACACTGTGGAAAGCAGCATGTGTCCTCACTTGCACACACCGGCAGCACACACTCTGCCATATACTCGCTGAGGTAGAGATGCACTGGCTAGAAAGAAAAATACTCAATGGGCTCTGCGTGGCCCAGACGGCACAGGTCCACAAGGCACTTCGAGGCGGCCCGGAGAGCAGGGACAAAGGCTGAGGCTGCTGCCCAGATTCAGGCAGCTGGCAGGGCCACCCGCAGCTGGGTACCCACAGCCGCCTGCCTGTGAGGTGCCACCCAGGACTGGTTGAGGCAGGAATAAAACGGCACTCGGGCAGCAGCTGGTCCCAAGGTGAGAAAATACGTTCTGGGTACAGAAGCTCTCAGGAAGCATTTGTTGAGTGAATGGGGTACAGAAGGGAAGAATTCTGGAGAACACTCTCCAGGGGCCTCCGAGCCTTCTAGCCTGGGAGCCGGGAACCGAGGCAGGGGGACAGCCCCGCCGCCGATTACTTTGGAGGTGGGAATGCATCAGTGGGCAGCTTCGGGGGCACCGGCTCTACCCAGTGTCATGTCCCGGCCTGCCTGGGCTCAGCTGCCCGTGGCTGGGTGCCACGTGACCTCAAAGGGCCCCGTTCACATCTCCCTTCCCGGGCACAGCAGCCTCAGCCCTGACCTTGGGGAAAAAGTTCCGAGCCAGCTGACTCGCACGCCTGTTCCGGGGCAACAGGCCGTGTTCGGGAGGGAGGAGACCCCGGGCGCCGTCCACCCCATCGGGCTCCCAGTGACAGCTGGGGTGCAGCCAGCGGTAATAGATGAGGCGCAGAGCCACGCCCAGCAGGAAGCTGGCGCCGCCCACGGGCAGCCACAGCTGCAGGGCGGCCGCACCGGGCAGCCAGGCGCTCTGGGTCACCCAGGTGACCACCAGCAGGACACTGTCACTCAGGAGGAACGTCAGGTGGATGGTGGCCCGGCCCCGGGTGTGGCCCTCGGACACGTTGAACCAGGAGAAATAGAGGATGGTGGCCACAGTGGCCCGGTACAGCCACTCAGAGCTGGGGTCTGGCATGAAGTCTGTGCCCTGGAGCCAGACCCAGAGCAGCAGCACCAGCCACAGGCCCAGGAAGTGCAGCGCCACGTAGTGGGGGAAGAGGGCGGAAAACAGGGCCACGGCCAGGACTCGGGGCCACAGCAGCAGCAGATTCCACACGAAGTAGACGGCAGAGGAGCCCACGCCCAGGCGGGGCTTGGCGGGAAGGCAGGTGCGCAGGGCCCGGTGGTAGTCCAGCAGTGCCCAGGAGATGCCCACAAAGGAGGTGCAAATGCCAACCCCTACAAGAAGACGACAGAGTTGAGTCTTAAGGCCCCATAATTTTTCCTTTCCCAGGAAAGCCCAAGCTTCCTCAGGTCTGAAAAGCAGCCGTCTGGGTTCTCTTCGTGTCAAAAAGGAGACGCGCGATCCCGCGGGAGGCGCAGGTCTCCAGCCGCGGGCTGTCCTGGGGTTAGGAGGGATGACGGCCCTGCCCTGTGTCACCCCCTCTCCCCCATCCCCGTCAGCCTGACCCATGGTCCTGACTTTCCAAGATCCAGAAGTGAGAGGGGGTGGGAGGTGCCAGCACTGGGGCTTGAACTCGGGGCTTGGTCCCCTTGCTTAGCTTTCTTGCTCAAGGCTAGTCCTTTACCACTCCAGCCACCCATCCAGTTCTGGCCTTCTGCTGGTTAACTGGAGCTAGGAGTTCCATGGATGTGTCTGCTTGGATTGGCTTTGCCTCTCAATCCTCAGGTATCAGCCTCATGAGTAACTAGAATTGCAGGTGTGAGCCACTGACTCCAGGCTATGATGGGTCTCATCCCTCCCTCCGGGATGTCCACCTGGACTAGAAGACGCCTCAGGGAGGATGGACACGGCACTGGAGTGACTCTAACGTGCATCTTCCCTGCCCATCC